GGAGGGAGGGAGGGAGGGAGGGAGGGAGGATGGAAGGAAGGAAGGAAGGAAGGAAGGAAGGAAGGAAGGAAGGAAGGAAAGAAAGGAATCCTGATGGTCCATTCTCAGTAGGAGGCCTGCTCAGAGCTCATAAAAAGAAGCCACAGGTATGCAGGCAAAGCTAGGCTCCTCTCCCCGCTAGCTGGTGTACAGTGCCTGCTTGTCTCAGAACTCTGAGAGTTGGAAAGTTGCTGGGTGAATGAGCTCAGCATTAGAAAAAAAAAAAAAAGGAGGCAGTCTCACGCCCCAGGATATTCATCAGACAAGGCTTTGCATCCTGAACCAACAGAGTGGGGAGCTGGGGGAGGGGCCATGCTAGAAGAATGTGAAGATTGTGACTGTCTAACGTACCAGCCTATGGAAAAGTGGTCTGGAATTGGGGGCCGTCTTGTGCCAAATCAGTGCACCAGCCATCTTTGCCTTTTCTCCATGCTGGCCCCCCCTTTGTGCAGAATATTAAAAACTGCCTCACTTCCACTAGTCTCTAATTCATTACAGAGTTGGGGCCTTGTTTCCACAGCATGCATCTATAACATCAGTGCTGAGGGTGGGGATGATATGGAGACAGGATCGCTGGGACGTGCGGGCCAAAAGTCCAGTTGAAAAATGGTGAGTTCCAGGTTCAGTGAGAGACGCTGTCTCAGGGGAATAACATGAAGAGCAAAAGAAGAAAACATTGGACCTCCTCCTCTGGCTTCCACACACGCGAACACAGGTACGCCCACACTCATGCCCACACAGAGATCCTGTGGCTTATGGAAAAGGTCAGCAATGACATCTGTGGGAATGAGTGGTGCAGTAATTGTGAGGACACTTGAATGTGAGTGTCCCTTAATGTCCTAGACTCATCTCCTCTCAAGAGGAAATGACTTCACTTTTAGTGAAAGGCAATGGGAACATTAGATTCAATGGGGAGAAGGATGCATTGTAAAGCATCTCCAGGAGACTATTTTCCTTGGAACGACGAGAAACCTTGAACTATTGTAAAGAGGAGCTGGTCTGAGCCCATCCCTGCCACATCAATCCCATCAAACAACTCTGACAAGCAGCAGCCCAAAGACACAAAGGAAGACACAGAATGATGGGAAATCACCCCAGGCATTGAGGCACCAAGGAATCAATGCTCCTTCACAAGTTCCTGATGCCCATCACTGGATCTGATGTGGGAGAAGAACCTGAGGACCACAAGGCTCAGCTCTTCCTTGGGGAGTCCTCCCATCTGGCTCAGAGCCTCTTCTCAGGGTAGACATGAGGTGGATGCCAGTGAGGAAGGGTGCTGAGGTGACAGATTGGGGCCATTGACTCCTGCACATTGGACGACCCCCAGAAAAGGTGTGGAAGTGTTTCTGCTCTTTCCCCGGGCTGAATGTGGCTGCCATCTTGGATTTGTGTGGCTGTAATCAACCTGCCCAAGGCCCTGAGGAGATCAGGTCAACTGTCACTCCTTCACAGAGAGAAGGGCAGGCTCAGGAGCCTTCACCCTATCCTTCTTCCTCGGTTATAGAAGAGGGAAATACTTCTCTGGGTCTTTTCCTGCTGCAGCTATTTTAAGTTATTCCAGTTGTCCACAGTTTTTCTTGGGCTTTCTGTGCTGTGGGTGAAACTCCTCCTCAGTGTCTGTAAGTCACCCAGGGGGACTTCCCCATGGTCTCACCTCTTTGAATCACCCTTTTCTCTGTAAATAACCACAATAAAGTCATGGGTTCACCATGCTGGACTTGACAGAATTCTTTTTTGGGTCCATCAGCGTTCTCTCTGTCTGGGATCAGGTGCTCTCCTGCTCACCTCTTTCTGGGATCAACGATCCTTTCTTTGCATATCTCCAAGGATTCCAGGGATGGCTTTGAGCCTCTGAGTGTCCCAGTGCAAGTCAGAGGCTGGGCCCCAAGCAAGCACTGGGAAACAGGAAGCAGGTCTGTGTGGCTGTTTCCCATGGTAGGAAGAAAAGCTCTGTGGCCACGTGAGTACCTAAGAAAAGCAGAAGGAACGGCCTTCCCTGTACACCCTAATGTGGGAGTGCTTCTGCTGTGACCCCAGTGTACACAACTTGGGGTTTGTGACAGATGACACAGAGGCAGATACGGGCTACACACAACAAGCTCTGAAGCAGGGGCTTCCTCTGGACAGCCTTAGGACTGGGAAGTTTGGGTTGCCCCTCAGCTGCCGAGGCCACCCCACACTATCGGGCCTGGCCTGCCTCTTTTAGACCTCCGGGCCTTCCTTTGTCCCACAATGCTGCCCATCTCTGGGATATTAACCTTGGCTGTCAGATCCTTAAGGAACCCAGGCAACTTGAACCCAATGTGTCCCGTGGCCCCCAGCTGGTCATGATGGCCATGATAGGTCCCTCCTTGTCTTAGGGTTTTTTATTGCCATGAAGAGACACCACAACCACAGCAACTCTTACAAAGAAAACATTTCATTGGGGTGGCTGGCTTACAGTTTCAGAGGTTCCGTCCATTATCATCATGATGGGGAGCACGGCAGTGTGCAGGCAGACGTGGTGCAGGCTACATCATGACCAGAGGCTGCAGGAAGTCAACTGACTGTCACAGAGTGACACTTGAGAAAAGAGACCTCAAAGC